TGAGCCATTGGGGCCAATGATAACGTTTAAATATTCTGATGGTGTGAAGATGCATTCTGAGTATGTCCTGTAAAGATTTACAAATAAATTAATGATTACATGTTATATTTCTAGGAACTGTCCAAGAGTTAAATACACATACACGAAATCTTTGCAATATACACTTTTTATTTTCCCAAAATTGGACATTTTCGCAAAACTAATTTTTAAAAAGATGAAGTAATTGAATTTTATAATAATAAAATACTAAATATACGCCGCCATTTTACTCGCTGCCAACGCTGTCAACGCTGCCAACCCTCTCAACTGCTTTTTCTGTCAGTAAACAATTGAATGCTTTGATAGAACGTGAAATTAACAAAACAAATAGAATGAGATATCAAAACGCTTTTATATGCAAACAACTTATGACAATTGTACACAAACAATTTTTTTTCTGCTCTTATTCAATTTGAAAATATTAACTTGTATATTATTAAGCTGTGATTTTAGATTTTTGTTTGGTTATCATAAAAATCACTATGTTTGCATATTTTTTAACAATTAGTGTAAGTTATTGTAGACAATGTTTTTTGGAGAGGAATTTGTTTACAGAAAAATTTTTCACATTTATATTTAATTTTACAATAATAAGTCAACAAGTTTTATATACACATGTTCGTCCACTACGATTAATTTATAACATATCGATATCGTGTTATATGAAACTTTTTGATTCCTGTATTTAAGCAAAAATATAATATAGTTTAAGCTTAGATATAACATAAATCAAAAAAAATGTATATCGTGTTTTATCGGAACCTTATTCGCGTTGACTCCAAGCCGTGTTGTAGGATACCTTCAAATAAAGTAGATCAATGCAATGCGTACCGTGTTATATCGAAACCAAACCTTAAATGGTTGAACTTTCATCATTTATTTAATTTTTTTTTAATTTTGTTTCAGAACATTGATAACACAGGCGCTTAGTTAAAATCGTTTCATAATCGTTGTTTTTTTGTTTGTCATCAATGAGTTCATAATTTTCACGAAGAAAATTTCTTTTTAGATTTTTTCTTTTAATTTATTGGTTTATAAGTTCAAGTGTCCCGTTCTTTCCATTCTGTTCTCATATCAAATTTGTACTTGGTTTGTGTCCAAAATCATAAATATTGTATATTGATTGCATTGATGAATACAATTTCATATATCGTAGAAAACGGCAAACATTTTTATTCCATATGCTTTGGGAAATGTGTCCGATGCTGCCATTTTCAAAAATTCTTCAAAAAAGAAATTATTTTTTATTAATATTTATATGCACAGTAGCTCAATAAAGTCTGCATACAGACTGAGAAATTACGCTTTCTATTATTAATATCTGCATTTGTGCGTTGAGAATCAAAAAAATATATTTCTTACAAAACAAAAATTTATATTAAATAAAAATTAATTTTTTTTATCGAGGCAAAATTCTAAAAATAAAATATATGTCAATCCCAAAAAATATCATAAAAAAGTGTATATGCAGTGAAAACACATCACTATAAGTATAAAAAAAGCATCTTTAGATAACGGTAGTTAATTTCGTGCTTCTTCTCGTCCATTAGATGTGAATTTCTTTATTTCTTTCCTTAGAATGTCGCAAAACATACATAAACGCCTCGACTTTTGAAACTCCATAGAAATGATGACATCAATTTTTTGAAAAACGGAATTTTTAGGAATGAATTTAGGTTTAACATATTCGGATACGATGTTTACGGATTTGTCTTGGTTTGGAGATCCCCCAAACACCGGATTTCAATGCAATTGAAAATGTTTCCTAAGTGTTTACCTCAATTTAACTTGTCGAAATACTAATACTACTACTACTACTTAGGCACGTCTGCCGGGAAATTTTAAAATTATAATTTTTTCGAAACCGGGAAAGTGGGCAGGTCCAAACCATCTTCAGTAACTTTCGTCCTTGCGTCAAAACATGCCACTCTACCAAACTTCACCAAAATATCTCGAAAATTGTTTGAACAGAATCTTACATGGGCAGACAGTTGGCGGACAGACGGACGGCCTTAGATCGATTCAGAATCATTTTCTTCTTTCTCAGAACTATTGCCTGAACCCGTCGATATAATAAAAGGTGGGTCCAAGTCTTTCTATATGTTAAATACGTCCGCACTAACTTAATATACCCTATATCAGTTTAGGGTATAATAATTAACGTAATCGCGTATCTGAAAGACAGCTTTATGTTTTCGATTTTCGGTTGATTAGCATTCATCATTGGTTGATTACTACCGGTTTTTTGAAATCACACAGCCAGAATAGCTGTTGAATACAATCTCACCATATTTGTCAATTTATACGAAAGCTAAAGAACTTATGTTTAGCATTGGTTGCTTAGAGTTGCATTTATAAGAGAAAACCGTTGTAAATTGAGAACAGAATAGAATCGAAACAAAACTGTTTACTTGCAAACAGCTGAGTCAATAAATGAGAACAAAACAATTAAGAAACAAAAACCAAATTTTTTGAGTTTAAGTTTAAGTCTTCATGCTGTCGTTGGGGTGTACACAACCAACTTCAGCGTGTTACTCAATTGAAATAAGGAATAAAGAAAAGAGTCAAACATAACCTAGAAAGCAAAAAATTGAAAAAATTTAGTAAAAAAGATTTCTATATAGTTACTGGATTATGGATCTAACATTAACTTAACTGGTCCAATCCATCTCTAAACAAACGAGCTTAAGTTAACCACGAAACAAAAGTTACAAAAAATCGATATGTTTGCCTTTGGGATTTTTGCAAGACCTTTTTTAAGTGGGTAAATAAGCCGCGTTGCTAAAAAAAATGTATGCATATAAAATATCAATTAAAAGCGTGGATGTAAATCTGGAATATGTCTGCCCACAAAAAGATGACGTAAATTTGTATGATTGCAAAATAACATTAACCGAACCCTGCAAGGTAGGCGACTCAGACAATCTCTTGACTCGTAACGGTCGGAATATTAATGGATATATTTATTAACAATAAGGTAAGCGTATGAAATATTTACATATGTGTATTTGTCACATATGTGTATTATAAATTATGTTTTTTTAGACTAATTTTTTGGCACTAGATGAAGAGGTCCTTTCTATGTGTTGGAGCTGTTTGGAGAATTTAAAGTTTTGCTATAGTTATTATAACAAATTAAGGAGTGCGAATAGTAATTTGGAATATTTATATCAAGAGCGTTTAAATGCCTAAAAACTGGTAAAAAGAATTGCCTGAAGACGAATTAAGTTCCTTAATAATAGAGGATTTGAATGAAGTGGACAAAATCTAATAAAACTTGCAACGATAATAGAACCGTGCGCAAACTCATCGCAGCCGCCCAGTTGTCTTTTAAAGTATGTAGACATATGGCACCCGTAACTGATGATATATTTTGGTGCCAGATTTTGGTGATAAAGCGCACATTTGCTGGAACGAAGGGGTACCTTTCGGGTATTTTGATTGCCAATAAAAATTTACCGCCCTCATAAGGTGTTCCGAAGGGTCCAGTTATTTCTCC